TGCGGCTGCCGCGCCCCCGCCGCCGGGCTCGCGGCGACGGCCGCGCCCCCGGGCGGGACCTGTCGCGGGCGCGCGCGCCGGCGGAGCGCCGCCCAGGGCGGCTGCTGCCACGAAGCGTCGTCGTCCTCGTCGCCGTTCGTCGCTGGCCGGCGTCCGCCGTCGTCTGCCGTCGTCGCCGCCGCCGCCGCCGCCATTGCCGTCGTCGTGGTCGTGGTCGTGGTCATCGTCGTCGTGGTCGTGGTCGTCGTCGTCGTCGTCGTCGTCGTCGTCGGAGTCGGGGCAGGAGTAGGAGTCAGGTTGGCGAGGTGGAGCGAGCCAGCGGGCCCCGCCCACCCCCACGGTCCTTCCCATAACAGAAGGATCAGTTGTGGCGCATCTTGACAGTTATTTCGGGACTGGAGGAAGGTCCAACCTAGCGAGTTGAATGCGCTCGCGTGCGGTCCCGCTTCTGGCGACATGGCGATGAGGAAAGACCGCGCGCCGCGCGGGCATGGGTATTATCAGAATTCGCTTTGCTGCGGCGAGAGTGCCATGTTGCCGTCTGTGAGGCAGGTGAGTTTCCGATGAGCACGTCGAAAACAAACCATACGCGGCGCCGAAACAGCACAACCATGTTCACACGTAGATTGCGCGGCGCTCGGGCGAGGGCAGCTTTTCGCCCGCCCTCGTACTGTCCCACTGCTGGTGCCGCTTTTACCGATGTGGCGAGCGAGAAACATGCGCCGTGCCCGCGCGGGAACGCTGCGCACGAAGCGTGAGCGAAGGCGACAAGCCGCCCGTTCTCGCGTGCGGCACCGCCCCCAACGACAAGGCAAGTAAAACGTATGCGCCGCGCCAAGCAGGGAGCGCCACTTTCACCGGGGCGAGAGCGTCATTTTCGCCCGCTCGTGCGTCGACGATTTGGCGACCGAAAAATGTGCGCCGCGCCCACACGGGAGCTCCGCTCCTAGGGAAATGGTGCGCGGCACCAGGGCGAGAGCGACAGGTCGTCCTTTCGCGCGCGATGTGCGCCCCGTCGCATTCCTGCCATGTAACATCGACGCCCAAACGTCTCCCGGTGCTTTTTTTTTTTTTTTTTTTTGTTTTTATTTAAAAGTTCAAGTGGGATATGGGACAACAAGAGGTTTTTCATGATGATGATGCTGCTGCTGATGATGATGATGATGGTGATGGTGATGGTGATGGTGATGGTGATGGTGATTGTGATGGTGGTGATGTTAATGATGATGAGGATGCTGGTGATGATGATGATGGCAATGCTGATGCTGATGGTGATGGTGATGGTGATGATGGTGGTGGTGATGATGCTGCTGCTAATGATGATGAGGAGCATGATGATGCTGCTGATGATGATAATGATGACGATGATGATAATGATGATGATGGTGATGATGATGATTGTGCTGGTGATGATGCTTGTGATGATGGCGACGACGATGACGATCATGCTGATGCTGATGATGCTGATCCTGATGATGATGCTGTTGATGATGATGACGATTCTGATGCTGTGATACTGATGATGATCATGCTGATAGTGATGATGATACTGATGATGATGGGGATGGGGATGTGGACGATGATGATGAGGATTATGGTTCTGATGATGATGTTGATGATGATGATTCTGATGCTGATGCTGATGATGATGATTGTTATCATGATGATGCTGATGCTGTTGATGATGATGATGATGTTGCCGGTTATGATGATGCTGTTGTTGATGATGCTGATGATGGTGATGCTGATGCTGATGTTGATGATGATGACGATGGAGATGCTTATGCTGATGCTGTTGCTGCTGCTGATGATGATGCTGCTGATGCTGATGATGTTGATGACGATGCTGATGACGATGATGATGATGATGCTGATGATGCTGTTGCTGATGATGCTGATGATGATGATGCTGTTGATGTTGCTAATGATGCTTATGATGATGATGATGATGTTAATGCTGATGATGGTGACGATGATGATGCTGATGCTGATGCTGATGCTGCTGATGATGATGACTCTGATGCTGATGATGATGCTGATGCTGATGATGTTGATGATGATGATGATGCTGATGCTGCTGATGATGATCATGCTGATGATGATGCTGATGCTGATGATGCTGATGCTGCTGATGGTGATGATTATACTTGGCGTCATGATGCCGATAATAATGCTGATGGTGAAGAGGACGAGGAGGATGCCGAGGGAGGTGTTCGAGGAGGAGGAGGAGGAGGAGGAGGAAGAGGATGAGGACGAGGAGAATGAGAATGAGAATGCGCTATCACAGAGTGATCCAAGAGAAACTACCTCGACGCCCTTGCTGCCTGCTGGGCTCGAGTCAGGGCCTTTGGCCACTCGCCACGATCGATTCGCCGAAGATATTCCCTCCGAGAATTGGTGATCTGGCGGGGCTGACAAGGGCCCTGGAGACCTGAACTATTGTGCTCACTACTATAGAAACCGCAACCGCTGCAGAACCATATGCCGAGAGTGCGATGGAAAACCATACGATGTGTGTCGTGCACCCAGCCCCCACCTATATGTAAGTGCTGACCGACAGGGAGGTGGAAAACATTAGCATTCCCAGGAGTGAGCAAGAAACAAGGGGACCGACGCCACCGCAGTACAGCGGCGTCAGTGGCAGATCCCCGACAACGACGGCACCTCTTGCCGCTCTCATCCAGAGCGTGGCCCGTCTCAAACGCACTGACAATATTGACCGATGGCGGAGGAGGGGGAGGAGGAGGAGGAGGAGGCCCCGCCTGTGTCGAACTCCTCGAGGTGGGGGGCTTCGAAGCTGCTGCAGCGTTGAGGGCCTCAAGGCCCGCGCGGAGGAGTCGGCGCCTGAGAAAGAGGGCATCTTTTTCCACCGTCCAGATCCTCGCTCGCAGTTCTTCGGGGAGTCGAGCGGACACTGCGGCCTCTCCAGCCAGTATATCCGCCACCGTATTGCCAATGGTGAGAAACAGTGGCACTTTTTTCTCAAGTGCCTCTTCTGCCGTCAGATGGGATGCAACCTGGGGAACAACAATCTGTGACGTGTCACGGTTCTGGTCCTGAAGTTGCTTCCTAATCGTGTCCCAGATCCCCTTGTTGTCCCCCGATGGCTCAAGATAATGACCAGCATACCATCCGTCGGCGACAGCAGAGTTATCTGTAACATAGATAAGGGATCCCGTACTATAAGAAATAGCCAAAAGGAGCCCATAGAGTTCCCCACGAGGTACAGTTTGTCTACGTCCAGGGAGAGGCCCAAGAATAGTAGATCCGACACATGGGGGGCTATAGGAGCTCATGGTATTGATTGCGATGCCGATGCGACGAAACCGAGGTTCGCGAGCATCGGGCCCGCCACTAGCATCTCCGAATACAACCAGAGGTGCATCTTCACAACCGTGGCCCAAAAATGAGCCGTGCAACTGATCATCATTCAAAAGGAGGAGGAGGAGGAGTGGCAGGATGATGATGATGCTCATGATGTTGACGATGCTGATGCCGATGCTGATGATGATGACGCGAATGTTGATGATGCTGATAATGATGATGCTGGAGATGGTGGTGATAATAACGATGATGCTGATGATGACGATGATGCTGATGATGATGCTGATGCTGATGATGCTGATGCTGATCATGACGATGATGATCAGGATGCTGATGATGCTGATGATGATGGTGATGATGATGTTGACACTGATGCTGCTGATGCTGATGCCGATAATGCTGATGCTGCTGATGAGGCTGCTGATGATAAGGATGACGACGATGATGATGATGATGATGATGATGGTGATGGTTATGATGATGATGATGATGCTCATGCTGATGATGATGCTGATGATGATGATGCTGATGATGGTGAGACTGCTGATGCGGATGATGATGCTGATGATGATGGTGTTGATGATGATGCTGATGATGATGATGGTGGTGACGATGATGATGATGATGCTGCTGCTGATGATGATGCTGATGCTGATGCTGATGCTGATGATGCTGATGCTGTTGCTGATGATGACGATGATGCTGATGATGATGATGATGGCGATGATGGTGGTGATGACGATGCTCATGATGTTGACGATGCTGATGATGATGATGATGATGATGATGATGATGATGGTGGTGATGATGATGCTGCTGCTGATGATGACGCTGATGACGATGGTGGTGATGACTGTGAAGCTGATGCTGATGATGATGCTGATGCTGATGCTGATGCTGATGCTGATGATGCTGATGCTGATGATGCTGATGACGATGCTGATGATGCTGCTGATGATGATGCTGATACTGATGACCAGTTACGGATGATGATGATGATGATGATGATGACGATGCTGATGATGATGATGATGATGATGATGATGATGATGATGATGATGCGGAGGAGGAGGATGAGGAAGAGGAGGATGAGGCGGAGGAGGAGGAGACGGAATCGGATGATGCTGATGTTGATGATGATGATGCTGATGATGATGATGATGATGATGATGATGATGATGATGATGATGATGATGACGATGACGATGATGATGATGATGATGATGATGATGATGATGATGATGCTGATGATGATGATGATGATGGTGATGGTGACAATGATGATGATGCTGCTGCTGATGATGATGCTGATGCTGCTGCTGATGCTGATGATGCTGATGCTGTTGCTGATGCTGACGATGATGCTGATGGTGATGCTGATGCGGCTGCTGCTGATGCTGCTGATGCTGATGATGCTGATGATGCTGCTGATGATTACGATGATGGTGATGACGGTGATGATGCTGATGATGATGATGTTAATGATGATGATGATGCTGCTGCTGATGATGCTGATGCTGATGATGATGATGCTGAACATGACGATGACGATTATGCTGATGCTGATGATGATGATGGGGATGCTGATGCGGCTGCTGCTGATGATGCTGATGCTGATGATGCTGATGATGCTGTTGCTGATGAAGGCACTTATGGTGATGATGATGCTGATGTGGTTGTTGATGACGATGATCTGATGATGATGCTGATGATGCTGCTGATGATGATGATGATGATGATGATGGTGATAATGATGATGATGATGATGATGATGATGATGATGATGATGATGATGATGATGATGATGATGATGATGATGATGATGAAGAGGGGGAGAAGGAGGGGGAGGAGGAGGAGGAGGAGGAGGAGGAGGAGGAGGAAAAATACGAACACGGATAATAAGAATACTATTCATACTAATGATACTAATAATACGAAGAAGAGCACGAACAATAATACAAAGACTAATAATAACAATACTAATAATACGAACACTATTACTAAGAAGAACACGACGAATCATACTAATAATACGCATACTAAGAGGAGGATGCTGATGATGATGAGGAGGAGCAGGAGGATAAGGACGAGTAGGAGAAGGATGAGGAGGAGAATGAGGTGGAGGCGGCGGCGGCTGATGATGATGCTGATGCTGATGCTGCTGCTGCTGCTGCTGCTGATGATGATGATGATGATGATGATGATGATGATGATGATGATGATGATGATGATGATGATGATGATGATGATGATGATGATGATGATGAGTACCAGGAGAAGGAGGAGGAGGAAGAGGATGAGGAGGAGGAGGAAGATGAGGAGGAAAAGGAGGAGGATGCGGCCGAGGAGAAGGAGGATGAGGATGAGTCGGAGGAGGAGGAGGAGGAGAGGAGGAGGAGGAGGAGGAAGAGGAGGAGTGGCGAGGAGGAGGAGGAAGGACGAGAAGGAGGAGGAGGATAAGAGGAAGGAAAAGGAAGAGGAGGAGGAGGAGGAGGAGGAGGAGGAGGAGGAGGAGGAGGAGGAGAGGAGGGGAGGAGGAGGAGGAGAGGAGGAGGAGGAGGAGGAGGAGGAGGGAGGAGGAGGAGGAGGAGGAGGAGGATGAGGAGGAGGAGGAGGGAGGAGGAGGAGGAGGAGGAGGAGGGGGAGGCGGCGGCGGCGCGGCGGCGGCGGAGGCGGAGGCGGGCGGATGCGGAGGATGAGAGGAGGAAAAGGAGGAGCAGACGCAGGAGCAGTAGGAGGAAAAGGAGGAGGATGAGGAGGGGAGGAGGACGAGGAGGCGACGGCGGAGGTGGAGACTGAGGAGGAGGAGGACGACGAGGAGGAGGAGGGGGAGACGGAGGAGGAGGAGGAGGAGGGAGGAGAAGGGAGGAGGAGAGGAGGAGGAGGAAAAGGAGGAGGAGGAGGAGGAGGAGGAGGAGGAGGAGGAGGAGGAGGAGGAGGAGGGAGGAGGAGGAGGAAGGAGGGAGGAGGGAGGAGGAGGAGGAGGAGGAGGAGGAGGAGGAGGATGAGGAGAGGAGGGAGGAGGAGGAGGAGGAGAGGGAGGAGGAGGAGGAGGAGTGGGAGGAGTGGGAGGCGGAGGAGGAGGAGAGGTGGAGGCGGAGGAGGAGGAAGAGGATGATGAGCTGATGATGCTGCTGCTGATGATGATGATTATGATGATGATGATGATGATGATGATGATGATGATGATGATGATGATGATGATGAGGATGATGAGATGGATGATGATGATGATGATGATGATGATGAGGTGGAGGAGGAGGATGAGGAGGAGGAGGGTGAGGAGGAGGAGGAGGAGGAGGAGGAGGAGGAGGAGGAGGATGAGTGGGAGGCGGAGGAAGAGGAGGAGGAGAAGGAGGAGGAGGAGCAGGAGGAGGAGGAATAGGAGGACGAGGAGGAGGAGGAGGAGGAGGAGGAGGAGGAGGAGGACCGCCGAGGCCGAGGCCGGGGACGGTGACCGCCGCGGCGGGTGGCCGTGCGTCGCCCTCTTCTGCGGCATCCCCCGTGCCGAGAGCACCGACGGCGGGCAGCCCCCGCAAGCGGGAGCGAGGAGCGAGGGAGCTACGGGGAGGGACTTTGGCTTCGCGTGTCGCTCTGGCAGTTCTTGCTCACCATCCTTCTGATCGGCACACGCCATCTATTTTTCGGTCCCCCAGCGTCAGCGTCCTGAGCCTTTCCGAGCCTCCCGCCCCGCGGAGCGGAGCGACACGCTATCCACTCGCAAGACAGAGCGTGTCGCCGGGGCCGCCGCCGCGACACGCTATCCAAACGTCCCTGACCTGAAGGGGATGAGGTAGGGACGGATCGGTCTCCAAGGGCTTGGCGATTCTTCCAATCGGCCTAGATCAAGCTAGATCAGTCTAGGCAAACCAAGGTAAAGCAGGTAGGTCCAGGTTGCATTAGCCGCTTGCAGCGCGAGGAGGCTTGGCGAGTCGGGGCACCAAGGAACGAGCAGGTATACGAAATACGCTGTCTGATGCAGTCCGATTGGCCGAGCGGCTGTTTTCGATTCCAAGATGCAGAGGCTGACGCTTCAATGTGGCGCCAGAGAGATTGCGCCTCCAGGTGACGCCTCCAGTTCGCGCCAGAGATTGCGCCACTGTGCACGCCCATGGGCTGTCGCAGCCTATTGAAAGAATGAGCGAGGAGATTTTGGGCACGAGGAGGCGGATGAGG